TTTTAATTTTCTATTTCTGTGTATATCCTTTGAGAAATGATAAAGAAATTATTTATTCTTCCATATTTTACAATATTTCAGAGAAGGTCCAAAATATCAGCTAAAATACTAATACTGGGTATAGCATACTCAGGGAGGTCAAATCAAAATTAATCAAATGAATAATAGTACACATGCCACTGCTTATGAGTATGTGTAAGACACCTGGTGGCATTTTGGAACCGTAGCTGGCCTAAATATCACATATCATAATGGATGCAAGTGATAATAGTGTGCAAATTTAGTACATATGGTTGTAAATTTAAAATTCTGCATCTCTACTATAAAGGTAATTTCAAATAAAGCTTGCAGTTTACTTGGAGCCCTCAAACCTCCCCTCGTCATCTACTAGAACACAGTTAATGTTATTTGAGCCATAGAAGCTCTTGCACAGTAGATGTGAAGTATAGCAGTGTTTACAAATGATACAGAGGAAATGCTGGGTCCTCAGTTCATATAGTTTATTTTTGGGGTGAGGAGGCAGAAGGGCTGGTAAATGGAGCTTACTAGGTCTGTATACATGCAAGTGTGAAAGGGAAGGGATAAAGCATCCAAGATGCCTACTTGTATTTTTGGAAATGTAGCTGCCCAAAATTCCATTAAGATGATACATTTGTAGTTGTGTGTGAACATAATGACCACATGCATTTAAATACAGTTGGAGAGCAAACAATGGGTCGCAAAAGTATTCTGAGAACGGACAGCAGCTAAAATAGCCTGCCCTTCGGTGGGTCCCCGCTCAGAACTCATGCTGGTTTTAGCTCAACTTGTGCCATTACAGAGAGAACATATCTGAAGCATATCAGACTGGTCCCACCCATACGGGCAGTCCAGACCCGAAATGCCAGCAAGTTCTCTCTGCACGAGAGATACAGCAACCCCAGACGATCGTTTCAGCCTTGTTAGGCATCGTCAGTGAGGCATAGCTGATATCTCTCTAGGCACCGTGAGCAAGGGGTCCACGTCTGGATTACCCTTTAGACTAATGGAGAGCAAACAATGGGTCGCAAGAGTATTCTGAGAACGGACAGCAGCTAAAATAGCCTGCCCTTCGGTGGGTCCCCGCTCAGAACTCATGCTGGTTTTAGCTCAACTTGTGCCATTACAGAGAGAACATATCTGAAGCATATCAGACTGGTCCCACCCATACGGGCAGTCCAGATCCGAAATGCCAGCAAGTTCTCTCTGCACGAGAGATACAGCAACCCCAGACGATCGTTTCAGCCTTGTTAGGCATCGTCAGTGAGGCATAGCTGATATCTCTCTAGGCACCGTGAGCAAGGGGTCCACGTCTGGATTACCCTTTAGACTAATGGAGAGCAAACAATGGGTCGCAAGAGTATTCTGAGAACGGACAGCAGCTAAAATAGCCTGCCCTTCGGTGGGTCCCCGCTCAGAACTCATGCTGGTTTTAGCTCAACTTGTGCCATTACAGAGAGAACATATCTGAAGCATATCAGACTGGTCCCACCCATACGGGCAGTCCAGACCCGAAATGCCAGCAAGTTCTCTCTGCACGAGAGATACAGCAACCCCAGACGATCGTTTCAGCCTTGTTAGGCATCGCCAGTGAGGCATAGCTGATATCTCTAGGCACCGCGGAGCAAGGTCCACGCCTGATTACCTTAGACTAATAATGGAGAGCAAACAATGGGTCGCAGCTCTTCTGGAGAACGGACAGTGCTGTAAAATAGCCTGCCCTTCGGTCGGTCCCCGCTCAGTTCTCAAGCTGATTTTTGCTCATCTTGTGCCATTGCAGAGAGAACATATCTGAAGCATATCAGACTGGTCCCACCCATACGGGCAGTCCAGATCTGAAATGCCAGCAAGTTCTCTCTGCACGAGAGATACAGCAACCCCAGACGATCGTTTCAGCCTTGTTAGGCATCGCCAGTGAGGCATAGCTGATATCTCTCTAAGCACCGTGAGCAAGGGGTCCACGTCTGGATTACCCTTTAAACTAATGGAGAGCAAAAAATGGGTCGCAAGAGTATTCTGAGGACGGACAGCAGCTAAAATAGCCTGCCCTTCGGTGGGTCCCCGCTGAGAACTCAAGCTGGTTTTAGCTCAACTTGTGCCATTACAGAGAGAACATATCTGAAGCATATCAGACTGGTCCCACCCATACGGGCAGTCCAGACCCGAAATGCCAGCAAGTTCTCTCTGCACGAGAGATACAGCAACCCCAGACGATCGTTTCAGCCTTGTTAGGCATCATCAGTGAGGCATAGCTGATATATCTCTAGGCACCGTGAGCAAGGGGTCCACGTCTGGATTACCCTTTAGACTAATGGAGAGCAAACAATGGGTCGCAAAAGTATTCTGAGAACGGACAGCAGCTAAAATAGCCTGCCCTTCGGTGGGTCCCCGCTCAGAACTCATGCTGGTTTTAGCTCAACTTGTGCCATTACAGAGAGAACATATCTGAAGCATATCAGACTGGTCCCACCCATACCGGCAGTCCAGACCCGAAATGCCAGCAAGTTCTCTCTGCACGAGATACAGCAAACCCCAGACTCCATCGCTTCAGCCTTGTTAGCATCGCCAGTGAGGTATAGCTGATATCTCTAGGCACCGTAGGCAAGGGTCCACGTCTGATTTACCCTTAGACTAATGGAGAGCAAACAATGGGTCGCAAAAGTATTCTGAGAACGGACAGCAGCTAAAATAGCCTGCCCCCTCTCGTGGGTCCCTCAGAACTCATGCTGGTTTAGCTCAACTTGCTATTACAGAGAGAATATATCTGAAGGTGACACTGAATTGGTCCCACCTATACGGGTAGTCCAGACTCCGAATAAGCCAGTAAAAAGTTCTCTGCACGAGATACAGCAACCCCAGACGATCGTTTCAGCCTTGTTAGGCATCGTCAGTGAGGCATAGCTGATATCTCTCTAGGCACCGTGAGCAAGGGGTCCACGTCTGGATTACCCTTTAGACTAATGGAGAGCAAACAATGGGTCGCAAAAGTATTCTGAGAACGGACAGCAGCTAAAATAGCCTGCCCTTCGGTGGGTCCCCGCTCAGAACTCATGCTGGTTTTAGCTCAACTTGTGCCATTACAGAGAGAACATATCTGAAGCATATCAGACTGGTCCTTAATCGATAACAAGCAGTCCAGACCTCGAATGCCAGCAAGTTCTTTCTTCTGCACGAGAGATACAGCAACCCCAGACATCGTTTCAGCCTTGTTAGGCATCGCCAGTGAGGCAATGATATCTCTAGGCAATCCGGTGGAGCAAGGGGTCCACGCCTGATTACCTCCTTGTGACTAATAATGGAGAGCAAACAATGGGTCGCAAAAGTATTCTTGAGAACGCAGCTAAAATAGCCCGTTCTTCTCGTGGTCCCCGCTCAGAACTCAAGCTGGTTTTAGCTCATCTTGTGCCATTATAGAGAGAACATATCTGAAGCATATCAGACTGGTCCCACCTATACGGGCAGTCCAGATCCGAAATGCCAGCAAGTTCTCTCTGCACGAGAGATACAGCAACCCCAGACGATCGTTTCAGCCTTGTTAGGCATCGTCAGTGAGGCATAGATGATATCTCTCTAGGCACCGTGAGCAAGGGGTCCACGTCTGGATTACCCTTTAGACCAATGGAGAGCAAACAATGGGTCGCAAGAGTTTT